TTCTTCTTCACTTTCTGCCATAAGGGTGGTGTCATCTGCATATCTGAGGTTATTGATATTTCTCCTAGCAATCTTGATTCCAATTTGTGCTTCATCCAATCCAGCATTTCTCATGATGTACTCTGCATATAAGTTAAATAAGCATGGTGACAATATACAGCCTTGACGTACTCCTTTTCCTATTTGGAACCAGTCTGTTGTTCCATGACCAGTTCTGTTGCTTCCTGTCCTACATACAGATTTCTCAAGAGGCAGGTTAGATGGTCTGGTATTCCCATCTCTTTCAGAATTTTCCACAGTTTATTGTGATCCACACAAAGGCTTTGGCATAGTCAATAAAGCAGAAATAGATGTTTTTCTGGAACTCTCTTGCTTTTCTGATGATCCAGCAAAGCTGGCAATTTGATCTCTGGTTCCTCTGCCTTTTCTAAAACCCAGCTTGAATATCTGGAAGTTCATGGTTCTCATACTGTTGAAGCCTGGCTTGGAGAATTTTGAGCATTACTTTGCTAGTGTGAGATGAATGCAATTATGCAGTAGTTTGAGCATTCTTTGGGATTGCCTTTCTTTGGTATTGGAATGAAAACTGACCTTTTCCAGTCCTGTGGCCACTGCTGAGCTTTCCAAATTTGCTGGCATATTGAGTGCAGCACTTTCACAGCATCATCTTTTAGGATTTTAAATAGCTCAGCTGGAATTCCATCACCTTCACTAGCTTTGTTCATAGATGACCCTTATGCTTCTAGGTAAATCCTACCCAATCTCCATGTCTCTACTTGATGGTCATTTCTTTACTCCCATAACATCCTGTAAGTTAACTCTGGAAGATAAATCACACTAATTTGTCTTCCCCACAGACTATCAGTTTCATGAGGTGCAAGTACCAAGTCTATTCAATTCTATATCCTCAGTTCCTGGCCACTAGTATGTGCCTAATAAATAGTACCGGAAATATAAGTAACTGGAGGTCTAATGAGTGACTATATCCAGGAATTCACATGTGGAAATGTCACAAATATAGTTAGAAACAATAAGCAATAGAATGTTCTTTGGATGGTTAACTATAGAACTTTTTAGTTTATTTTAACTAGAAGAGCATTTTCCATGTTAAAATTAAAAAACAAAAAAATACATGACCATTATATTTTTGACCCAATGGGATATATAATGATGTTCCAAAAAGGACATTCTTTCTTAACCTGACCAGAAGAACTTGCTGTATTAGAGGTTGTAGTTGCTAGGGACAATAAATTTAGGTGGCAGGTTTAGAACATCCCTTCATATAAGTATTACTTCAAAAAAGAAAAACATTGCAAATGAATTCAGCTTGATTTTCCAAGTATGAACCACTAACCAAAAGAGTATAAATTCATCACCAAGGGTATAAAGAAAAAAAAAGTACCAAAAGCAAAATTTCAGTATTCCATACATATTGAAGGATTCAAATTCATCACAAAACACTATTAATATTATGAAATACTATGGTATCTATGAATGGTCATTTAAATTAGGGTAAATCTAGTAAATTAGCACTCAAACCAATTTCATGAAATACTGTCTTAAAATCATGACTTTAATGTACAGAAGCTTTTTACAAACTCTTGAATAGATGAAAAAAATGTGAGGGAAAGTTCTAATTATTAATAAATGTTTAGAATGACATGAGCAGCTCAGTGAAAATACACAGGTATATTTAATGTAGTCTCTGGCAAAAACAGTATTATTTGTTCAGTGACAATTACCTGCCCCAGGGCAATGCCAACCAAGTCTATACCACTGGATGTAGATGCTACACTGAGCCTGCTTCCCCAGCTTTAGAACAATCTGGTCCTCCACTTCTATTGCATCATAACTCCTGATAATCTGCTTTAGTTGTTTCCTTAACTTAGAATCCGAAGAATAGGTCACTAACACGAGGTGCTTTTGTAGGTACACCCTAATCTCACTAAGGCCCACAAGTGGGCTTTTAAAAACTGCTTTCTACATAGGCCAATTGGTCATGCTTGCATTTATTTCTACTGTGCTTTATTGGAGACTTGGATTTGAAAAGGATAAGTGAAAGCTTAGCGTCGTAGACAGTCAGCAGCAGCCTTCCTGGCATGATTCACCTCTATAAGGAGGTGGAAAGGTAGATCAAATGACATTTCTAAGATTTTTCCAGACTTATGCTATAACTATTAAGAGAATGCTTTATGCTTGGGACTGGCAAACTCCTTTCCTAGGATTTATCATTATGTGTGAGTGTAGACTTTTAGGCTATACATCCCATACCGTGCTTAAGACACTTAAGGGCTAAAAAATGTTTATTATCCCCTGCCAGTTAGCTCAGGGGGCTGGAGAAGTGCTCTGAAGAGGCCAAGTCACAAGCCTCATCTCTGTGGAAGCCAGTTAGTGTCAAAGAAAAGATCTGTTCCCTGGCTGAAGTTCACACCTTGAATCTCAGCCAGCTCTGGCCACAGAAAAACTTGGTTCCTCTACCGTTGATCACAGGAGCAATCAGGAAAGAGAATGTAGATGGATCAATGCAAAACCATCATCACTCTAGGGGAGAAAATCTAAATAAAGTCATTTCCTCTTGACTGGGTCAACAACATCATCTTCTTAGACGACCTTATGTCTTTTACAACTTGATACAATTATTTTTTTTGTATCCTTAAATCCCTTCCTACATGTTGGTTATTCTTGGAATGCTGATGTTGACAATAGTCTGAATCTGTATTATATATGGGCCATGGAATGACATGAACTTCATAGAGAACATGTATTTCTTGGCTATAGTCATGACGATATAATGGATTGCCTGACTCATACTTGAAATGAGCTGCAGCAGGCTATATATACCCACTTCTCCTTTCACTAGGTCTCTTTCCAGTTCATGGCCACATGTAGATGGCTCTTTAATCTTTAATGAAAGATACACCAGGCTTTCCGCCCTAGATTTAAATGAGAGAGAAAAAAAAAAAAAAACAGACCAAAATAGCTCATTTTATCCTCAATCTCAGAGAATGGGGAAGAAGCCCAACCTTTTCATTTCACATTTCCTTGCCTCAAATACCTCTCTCAGAAATTCACATTCTCCTTGCCTTATTTAATTCAGGCCTCAGTGAAAAATTTCAGCTCTTTCTAGAGTACTTCCCAAAGCATCATTTCTACCATGACATTCTTCTGGCAGCTTGCTTTATTTTCTTTATAGCGCTTATCTCTATCTGATATTAGATTTGGTACTTCCTTGTTTGTCCTTTTTGTTCCCAACTATATTTCTAATGCTAAAACAATACCTGGAATCTAATAGATTTGCTCAATATATAGTAATTGGAAATGATTTGGTGACTATAAACATAAGGGCTTCCCTGGTGGCTCAGCTGGTTAAGAACCCACGTGCAATGCAGGAGACCTGGGTTCAATCCCTGGGTTGGGAAGATCCCCTGGAAAAGGGAACAGTTACCCACTCCAGTAGTCTGGTCTGGAGAATTCCATGGACACTATAGTCCATGGGGTCTCAAAGAGTCAGACATGACTGATCAACTTTCACTCACTCACTCATGAACATAATACAATAAGTGGACATTGTAACAACAATAAAATGGCATGTGTATATAGTGACCAACTTTGGTTTATTTTGAGACACAGCTTCCTTCCATTTACCCAGTGTTACCATCTTCCAAGGAAAAGTTGCTCAACATCATTAGCCATAAGGATATTACAAAGCAAAACAATGAGCTACCACTTCACACCCTAAGATAGTTATAATAATTAAAAAAAAAAAGAAACAGAAAACAAGTACAGTGAGGATGTGGAGACACTGGAACCCTCACACATTGCCAGTGACAATGTAAAATGGTTCAGCTGCTGTGGAAAACAATTTGATGGTTACTCAAAAACTTAAAGATAGAATGATGATATAACCCCATAACTCTACACCTTCATATCACCCTTCCACAAATTGAGAATAGTTATTCAAATAAATGCATGTACATGAAAATCCACATATTCATACCAGGACTATTCACAATAACCAAAAAGTAGCAGCAGCACAAATGTCCATCAAATAATGAATGAATAAACACATTGTGATATATCCATACAATAGAACACTATTCAAGCATAAAAAAGAATGAAGTGTTGATACCTGCTACAACACAGATGAATCTCAAAAGTATTATGTTAAGTGAAAGAATCCAGGCACATGAGTCACATGTATGATTCTATTTATATTAGATATACAAAAGTACTTAAATCCATAGAGATAGAAAGCAGATGGGCATTTGCCAGAGACTGAGAAGAGGACAGAGTGGAAAGAAACTACATAATGGGTAGCAGGTTTTAGTTTGGAGTGATGGAAATGTTTTGAAACTATATAAACAGAGGCATTTGTTACCAGCATTGTAAATGTTCTGAATGCCACTGAATGCCAATGAAGTTTTCATTTTAAAATGGCCATTTCATATTCTGTAAATTTTGCCTCAATAATTCATTTTTAAAATGCATTAAGTTATTAAAAACATAACCTACAATCCCATATGCACGCGTGCATGCTCAGTCATTCAGTCATGTCCAACTCTTTGTGACCCCATGGACAGTAGCCCGCCAGGCTCCTCTGTCCTTGGAATTTTCCAGGCAAGAATACTGGAGAGGGTTGTCATTTCCTCCTCCAGAGGCTCTTCCTGACCCGGGGATCGAACCCGGGTCTCCTATGTCTCCTGCATTTGGCAGGAGGATTCCTTACCACTGAACCACCTGGGAAGCCCACAATCTCATATACACCTCTTCATAAACTCTGCACTCTTTTTTTGGAGATGAGAAGTGAAATGAGGAGAAGCTGATTCTGAGAAGGCTACTTTGGACAAAGAAAGGTCAGACTCTTTTCCTGGCTCAAAGACATTATGGTAATCATTTCATAAGATGAAGTTTCCATTTCTCCCGTGTCTCAAGTTCATTCTAACACATTTCCTCTGGCTTAGTGACAGACTATTTAAACATATGTTTCTTGTATTTTACAGACATACTTGGCAAGTTCAAGACAAAATCGATGCAAACAATGTGGCTTACACAACTGGGAAGCTAAGCTTTCATACTGATTATCCAGCCCTCCATCATCCACCTGGGGTAAGGTGAGCCTCAACATGTTTTCCACAAGGCAGGCCAAGGACCAATATTCTCCTATATTTTGAGCCTAGAAAATTGTATGTTTCACTAGCTAATTTGTCTTAATGTAGATCTTTCTCCAAACACAATCCAAGCTTACAAAATCTCTGTACCTAAATCTTGAACAGCCTCACATTCACAAGGGATAGGAGATTTCCATGTATTTTTTTTTTTTTCACATTTCTTCATTTCTCCCTGGAAATAACTACTGGCACTTACTACTTTGCAGAGACATTTTACCACAGCAGTATATCTTAAGCTCTTTTTGAACATTTAACATTCCCTGGAGAGTTGAAAGAGAAAATAAAACCAGGGGACACAATGTAGAGTTTTTCCCACAAAGTCACATGGCCACCATTCCTATCAGTTAACTATTGCAGTAAAAAACAACAGCAACAACAAATGAACAAACAAAACCACTCCATAACTTACCAGCTTAAAAGCTCAGTCATTGACTTATGTTTTCACAATTTCGGCTATATTCAGTTGAGTAGCTCTGCAGCTGCTGAGTCTGCAAGGGACTGGTTGACCTAGGTGGTGGCCGAGATGACTTGTCCCTGCCCCATCTGATCTATCATCTCCCCCTACTCCAACCCCCCCACCCCCACCCCGGGTGGCCCATGCTTATGCATATAGCAGGTAGCAGGGTCTCCAGAGAGCATGCTGAAACATACAAGGCCTCTTGAGACCTAGGCTAGCAATCAGCACAGTGTCCATCTCTGCCACGTTTTCATGCTTTTTTGGTCGAAGGTTTTAGCCTAGACTCAAGGGGTGGAGAATCCTAGGAATGGGGTCACACAGAGTCGGACACGACTGATGTGACTTAGCAGCAGCAGCAGCAAGGGGTGAAGAAGTAGAGGCCACCTTTTGTGGGAGAAGCTGCAAATACATACCACAAAGGGGTGTGAATGCAAGAAGCAGAATAACTTTGGTTGTTTTGGGAAACCATCTACTCTCCCATCTGTCCAATTCTTCATCAAGGAGGGAGATGTTCACCATGGAGCACAGATCCTCCAGATTTTCTGGAAGCCTCCCCATCTATTACCTTGTTACAACATTACCATCTTACTAAACAGCTGCATTTTTACAAAAGCATCATTTTGCTAAACCAAGAAATTAATGGTCAGAAAACTATCTTTGAAAAGAGATTTTGTTCCTATTTTTAGAGCTAAATGCAACTAAAGGAAATAGCCCCACAGAAATTTGTATCTTCAAAGATAAGGAAAGTGGAAATTTGGGGTAATTCTCTAGCTAACAAAGGTGAAATGGGGGAAAATCAAAATTCATCTGTGTTTTTCATCATATTAACTGGACACACTGTCTTCATGCCTTTGTTACCCATTGTCGTCATCAGTATTAACTAAGCTAGTCTAGTATTTTACTTCACCTGTTTTAAATTACTTTGCTGATTGTAAAATACCACATGATTTCTTGGAACTAAATGCGACAGTGGAATGACCCTCAATAGTCACCTTTTCAGGAATGGGTTGAGGGAAAGACACACAATATGATTTGTTTTAAATGTGGCCCAGAAATTTTCTAAAACCCTGGGGGTTAAAAGCCAAACTAATCATCTCAGTTCATTTGCCAAAGACAAGTTGAAGAAGTCAAAGGGAATAAAGTTCTTAAAATTAGACTAGAAAACTAGATTCTATTTGAATTTTTAAATTACCTGATTTTTTATGAATTTATGTTTTGTTTCAGGGTTAAAATTGAAAGCCTACAGAAAAGTGATCAAGTGACTTCATAAACATTCCTGAAGTATAAAGTTTGACATTTTCATAGTATTTTATATTACACTTTCTGTATTTTATGTTCTTTCAAAGCATTTTTACTTATATTGCTTTATTTGATGCCTCTTAGCATTGCTTCAAGTTAAACAGAAACAATCATGTCTTTTCATGTTAAATGAAGGTACCCAGCATGGTTAAATACTTTCACAGGGTGAGTTATAGGGAACTCGAACTTGAAACAAGGCCTGCATCAAAATTGTTTACCACATCATAGGGATCCTGAGTTGGACTTTCTAATTACCATAATTTCTGTATCATGCTGACTATTTATAGACATTGTCATACATTACAAATACAGGAAATACAGGAATTGAATCTTTTACTTCCATGTTATTTCAAAACTTAGTCCAGTACCTTAGATGTAATAGAGACTTAATGAATATGCTAGAAAGAAGTTTAAAATGCCACAAAGTTGTACCAATCCTTACCAGCAAATGAAAGGTCCAAATCTAAATAAACTGATATATTTTTTAAATAAAAAATGATTCCTGAAATGTTTAGATTCTGGTAAAATAATGACTGAAATTCAGGTACCTGCTTGTGCTATTGTTTCCACTTGGAATTATTCAAAGGTTTTTGAACCAAAGTTTGAGTTCTTTTATAACAAATAGAATAAATCAATATTCTTTTCAGTACAGATGAAATGATCTGGATACTGAGTTACCTGTTGAGAGTTCAGTTTGATCAATTTCAATCATATGCGGCAGGATAAGGAGACATATCTTTAATGAAACACAGATGTTGTTTCATTCACTGTCTCTGGGCCAAAAGTCACATGCTGCCATAAAGTAACATTTAAAAAGAAAATATTTTTGGTTCTGAATGACTTACATGACATCAAATTGGGCTTTATACACCCCAGGCATATATTTACCTTTTGAATGTGCAATGAAAGTGTTGTCTGGGTCCATCATCTTTTTTCTTTCATAGGATTGCATTAAAATGTACATATACAAAAGAAGATTATTAGTTGGCCTTGCCATATGTAAAAGACATCAGTTGACCTTTGTTTTATAGATTTATATTTGAAATATTCTGTGACTTCTTTATGGCAGAGTCTAAAAAGGATTTGAAGAACACAGATTCTACCACAGACCAAGTTATGTTATTGCTTTGCCTTCTTGGAGTTTGAGAGACTTGAGGTTGATATTTCCATTTCATCTTCTTTTTAATCATGCTGCTTCACCCCTCATTGCCTTGGCAATGAGATGATTTTCTATAATGACTTGGTCAGTTGATGCACATATTTTCAAGCTCAAAAAGAAGACATCAATTTAAGGATGATCAATTTTTCATTTAGGTCAGTTCTCTCATAATAGCAGAAAATGAGGTGTCATCAATCTAAAAATAGAAGTTTAAGTTTACCAAACACAACGCACACACCACACAATACTGAATTACTAACTGTACTATAAAGGGACTTCTTTCACAGGAAAGGAACTTGCTGTCTGAGGATTTAAAGCACAAAGGCCAAGGTTTGAACACTAGTTTTGCCATATATTAGCAGAGTTCTTACCAGCTGGCCAGTTTTTACACCTGAGTTCCACTTTCTTCCTCTACAGAATGGCAATGAAATTATCAAATTCTAAGGACTGTTGTAGGGAATGAATAAATAAGCATTTGTTGTTCAGTCACTCCATCCTGTTTGACTCTTTGGGACCCCAGGGACTGCCCCACACTAGGCTTCCCTGGCCTTCACTATCTCCCGGAGTTTGCTCAAACTCATATCCATCGAGTCAATGTTGCCATCCAACCATCTCATCCTCTGTCTCCTCCTTCTCCCGCAGCCCAACACCATAGTTTAAGACCAAGTGTATATTAGATTTTAAATAGAACTTCTGCATGGTTTTGGAAGGAGGCAGGATTTCCCACAGCCACACATTGGGAGAAGTCACATGTGGCCTCTTCGGACGGACACATTCGGTTTGATTTGAACACACGTTCATTGTATAGCTGTTACGGATGAGGCACTCTGTAAGAGTCAAAGAGGAGTAGGGAATATTGTTTCTGCCCTACAGGAGCTCACAGTTTACAAAGGGATGGGCCAGAGGAGATTCTGTCCCCAAAAAGCAGAATTGGCACCAGGGCAAGAGCTTCCTCAATAAACACAGATACCAAATGCTGCCTGGGTCATGCCGAATGGGGGCTGTTCGGGGAAGAAGTGAACTAGTTTCTGAAGTTCTGAGATCAGTCAGGCACAGATTAGAGGCAGGCATTCCAATAGAGGGAGTGGCTTGCTGGCAGAGGGAGAGTAAAATAGATAGAATATTCTTTTGGGGGGAAAAAAAACTTGTAAACATTCATCATGTTCTATAATAATCTACGTGGGAAAAGAATCTGAAAAAGAATGGATATATGTATATGTGTAATTGAGTCACTTAGCTGTATGCCTGAAACTAACACAACATTGTAAAATTAAATATACTCCAATATAAAATAAAAATTAAATTTAAAAAATTAAATTTTTAAAAAGGATTTGTATTTTAGATCTGCACTATCCAATACAGTAGACACTAGTCATCCAGGATTAAGTTGTAATTTAAACTAATTAAGATTAAATAAAGTTTAAAGTTAAGTTTCTCAGACAAACTAACCACATTTCATGTGCACAATACACATGCAGGACTAGGGATGACTACATTGGGCTCATGGAAGAACATTTCCATCATCACAGAAAGTTCTAATGGGCAACACTTGCCCTAGCAATCCTCAGAGTTAGCCAAGTTAAGAGTTAGGCAAGCTAAATGGATATTTTTCCCACTTATGCTGGTATCCCCCCAGTCTGTGTATTTGATTGTATTTGCCTCTCCCTTTTTATAAAAATTGTCAGACATTGGTTTTTATTTTTATTTCATGAAGAAGGAAGTTTTCACAGCTGAAGAGTGTTAGTTTCTTTATGCAGAAAATCACAGTCTAAATTTAGATATTCAAAATCACCCACCCATGCTGACTTACTAAAAGGAATCACATAACCACACTCCATTCAAAAGGATATTATTTAAAATATTACCACATTTAGCTTTCCAAAATGAAATCATATTACGCATTTTTCTCTATATCTTAGTAAAAGTAACTAACACTTACCATCCTTTTGGTGTCTCATTCCCACTATTTCTTGGGCTTATTCATCCTCATAGCCTCATCCTACCTCATTCCTTTATCATTATACTTAACTACCTCCCCTGTGACTTGGGCTTCCCTTGTGGCTCAGCTGGTAAAGAATCCACCTGCAAAACAGGAGAGATGGGTTTGATCCCTGGGTTGGGAAGATCCCCTGGAGAAGGGATAGGCTACCCACTCCAGTATTCTGGCCTGGAGAATTCCACAGACTGTATAGTCCATGGAGTCGCAGAGTCAGACACATGAAAGTGACTTTCACTTTCATTGCATTAGATCCTCAAGTAGTTACTCTCTTACAAGTTATTCCCTTAAAAAAATTGTATCCCTTGTTAACACCACTGGACTAATAATTTTCAACTCAGTCTTGACTATACTATTTCCATATTCAAAAGCCTTTACCAATTCCTCTCTGTGCACAACAAAAATAAACTCAAAATGGATTAAAGATCTAAATGTAAGACCAGAAACTATAAAACTCCCAGAGGAGAACATAGGCAAAACACTCTCTGACATAAATCACAGCAGGATCCTCTATGACCCACCTCCCAGAATACTGGAAATAAAAGCAAAAATAAACAAATGGGACCTAATGAAACTTAAAAGCTTTTGCACAACAAAGGAAACTATAAGCAAGGTGAAAAGACAGCCCTCAGATTGGGAGAAAATAATAGCAAACGAAGCAACAGACAAAGGATTAATCTCAAAAATATACAAGCAACTCCTGAAGCTCAATTCCAGAAAAATAAATGACCCAATCAAAAAATGGGCCAAAGAACTAAACAGACATTTCTCCAAAGAAGACATACAGATGGCTAACAAACACATGAAAAGATGCTCAACATCACTCATTATCAGAGAAATGCAAATCAAAACCACAATGAGGTACCATTACACGCCAGTCAGGATGGCTGCTATCCAAAAGTCTACAAACAATAAATGCTGGAGAGGGTGAGGAGAAAAGGGAACCCTCTTACACTGTTGGTGGGAATGCAAACTAGTACAGCCACTATGGAAAACAGTGTGGAGATTTCTTAAAAAGCTGGAAATGGAACTGCCATATGACCCAGCAATACCACTTCTGGGCATACACACCGAGGAAACCAGATCTGAAAGAGACACGTGCACCCCAATGTTCATCGCAGCTCCGTTTATAATAGCCAGGACATGGAAGCAACCTAGATGCCCATCAGCAGACGAATGGATGAGGAAGCTGTGGTACATATACACCATGGAATATTACTCAGCCATTAAAAAGAATTCATTTGAATCAGTTCTAATGAGATGGATGAAACTGGAGCCCATTATACAGAGCAAAGTAAGCCAGAAAGATAAAGACCATTACAGTATACTAACACATATATATGGAATTTAGAAAGATGGTAACGATAACCCTATATGCAAAACAGAAAAAGAGACACAGATGTACAAAACAAAACAGACTTTTGGACTCTGTGGGAGAAGGCGAGGGTGGGATGTTTTGAAAGAACAGCATGTATATTATCTATAGTGAAACAAATCACCAGCCCAGGTGGGATGCATGAGACAAGTGCTCGGGCCTGGTCCACTGGGAAGACCCAGAGGAATCGGGTGGAGAGGGAGGTGGGAGGGGGGATCAGGATGGAATACATGTAACTCCATGGCTGATTCATGTCAATGTATGACAAAACCCACTGAAATGTTGTGAAGTAATTAGCCTCCAACTAATAAAAATAAATGAAAAAAAAAAAAAAAAGAAAGTCCAATCTTTCATTTGACATTCAACACTTCCCCTGACTAGATCCCAAATTACCTTTCCAAGTGGATTACTATTTCCAGTTGTAACCCTCTACTGAAGCCAGATATTTTGAGACCCAGTGAAGTGTGCGTTTTTGCACACCCATCAACACTGCCAAGTGATTTGCTCTCGCTGTTCTAGTCTATGTATCCAAAATCTTATCCCTTCTACTTTGCCCAAATTAAATTCCACTTCTTCTGTAAAGCCAACAGGAAGTGCTCATTCCCTACTGCTCTTACAATCTGTGCCTTTTGTTTACAAACAAACATTGTTTGATTGCATCCTTGTCTTAAACTGAAACACTATTTGAACAGCAAACTTTTGATTTGAAGCAACTTTTTTCCCTAACCTCTTTCTCTGTTGACACAAGTGATAGATATAAAAGTATATTACCTTTATGAATCTTTCTTTAAAGCTGTCAAAAATGCAGGTGCATACCATTTTAAAACATGGTTCTCTGTTTCTATTTCTAGGTTCAGCTTCTGCACTGCATAAAGCAAACCGTCACTGGGGGTGAATCAGAAATTGTAGATGGATTCAACGTATGCCAAAAGCTCAAGGAAAAAAATCCTCGAGCATTCCAGATTCTGTCCTCCACCTTCGTGGACTTTACAGACATTGGAGTGGATTACTGTGATTTCTCTGTACAATCCAAACACAAAATTATAGAGTAAGTACTGTTTCTAAGTTTCTCATCTCAATAAAACAGTGACAGCAAAAGCTTCATTAACCTAAAGCTTAAACAGAAAAATCCAATTCACTTCTGAACTTTACTTTATATTAACTGTTTAGCCCAGTTCTCGAATGAAGGAGAAAAAAAAGAACCTTTTCACCATAAAAATTAAAAAAAATCAAACTCCATGGAATCTCTGTTCTTAATCGATAGAAGTAACTAACATTTTTTAAATTCTGCATAGTTATAGTTAGTGTGATTGTACTAATCAGGACCCTTTCAGAAGTGAAAGAATATAACTCAAGCTGGGTAGTCTAGAAGTTGAAAAGTATCATCTGATATTGATCTTTTATTTTTTCCTTCACGTCTTTGCCAACACACCCTCTGTGTTGGCTTCATTTTTAAAGATAATCAGTAGAAACTCCAAGTTTTCATTGCCCTTATAGCTGGTAATGACAGGACACAAAAAAAACTTATTTTCCAATAGCTACAGCAAAGATGTAGACTCGCTGCCCAGAACGTGTTTAAGCCTATCCTGGAAGAATTGCCATGGCTAGGAAGTCAGAGAATTCTGATGGGCTGTCCCTGGATCACATGTTCATCTGCAAAGAAAGGTCAGTCTCACCTGTACCACAAGGGCAGAGAAAGAAACAATAACACCTCCCCAGATTGATGACAAAAAATCTTATGTTCCCTACACAGAACTTTTTGTGTTCTTGTTTTGTTTAGCATTATTTCATAAGAGAGTATCTACAAAGGCCACCCAAGTATCCTTATATTTGAGAATTAACCTACATTGTTTTTTCTAGGACATATTTGATTTAATCTGACCTTAATGAATTTTGAGGTGTTTCAGTTTTAAAAATGAATTTGTATTCTTCTTTTAGGAGAAATAACCAAATAATATGAAATAAACTCACCTAATAAATAATCAAATCCCCAATATACTAACTCAGCTTTCTTAAATATACACATGGTCGTCATTTATTCATTCAACAAATATTTACTGAGGCCATTCACTCTTGTTGGTGCATGGGATACAGTGGTAAACAAAACAGTTTCCTGTCCTCATGAAGCTTACTTACTAATGGGGGAGGGGAGAATTAGAAATTTTTAAAATAAATGAGGAAATTGAAATGAATGTTAAGATATTTTAAGTGTTTAAGAAACAAGGAAAAGTAAGGCAGGTTAGGGGAGCCTGTAGAACCAAAGACTTGGGGAGGATAAAATTTGTATCATTAAATAGTGTTTCAGTTGAACTTCAATACTTTGACCACCTGATGTGAGGGCTGACTCATTTGAAAAGACCCTGAAAGACTGAGAAAGATTGAGGGCAGGTGGAGAAGGGGATGACAGAGGATGAGATGGTTGGATGGCATCACCGACTCTATGGACATGAGTTTAGGTAAACTCCAGGAGTTGGTGATGGACAGGGAGGCCTGGTGAGCTTCGATTCATGGGGTTGCAAAGAGTCGGACATGGCTGAGCGACTGAACTGAACTGAATTGAACTGAAATAGTGTTTCAAGGACAAGCTTTACTGAGTAGGTGATATTTGAGCAAAACTTAAGAGTAAAGGAGTTTGTCCAGAAAATGAGCAGTTTCCAGAAACAGCCAGAGCAAAGATCCTAGGATGATCCTAAGAAGATGCTTGGTGTGGTCAAGGAACCACAAGAAGCCACTCTGTGGGGCAGAGTGTTAAGAGAGGAGGACAGACGGTTGTCAGTTCATATAAAGCTGTGTTAACCATCATAAGAGCACTGGTTTTCACTTTTAGTGAAAGATTTTGACCAAAAGAGAGACATCTATATTCATATAAAGTTATTGACATTTTTAGTGGATCACCCTGGCCGCTGTGCTCAGTACAGTGTAGGAGAACAAGGGCAGGAATAAGAAGTCCGGCTAAGGAGCTCCTATGGGACTGCAGGTCAGAGCCGAGGGTACCTCGAACATAAGTGGTCCTGGTGGTGACAGCAGCAGGATGGAGAAGAGTCCTCTTTGGGAAATAGTTTTGCATATTTACTCAGCATATTTCCATGAAACATTGGATGAAAGGTCTGAGAGGAAGACAGACTTAAAAAAATAAATCCTGGTCCAAAGTAACATCATGCAAGAGGTCAGTCATCAAGAATGGAAAAGAGAAGGAATAACTCTCAGGCTTCTTAGGTTTAACATGATAGTTTTAAATATTTAAAAGACCATTACAAATTATCATTTTGTTATGACACAATATGATTACAGATTCTGCAAGGCTAGTGAACAGAGGCAAAAAAAAAAACTTAGCTATTGAGTGAGGTTAACCAAACAGCCATCATCTGAATCATAATTTGGCTTTGTTATTTTTTTTGTAATGAAATTCCAGAATTTGGTCATTATCAAGGTCTCAGAGATATCCCTAGAGAATGTCAAGTGTTTAACATTAATTCACTTAAAATGTGTTTTTAGCAACAGAAGATGAAACAGAGTTTTCGGTTAATCAAGGGTTTCAGTATTCTGATTGTTTGGATTAATTTTCCTAGTGGTTAAACCTTTTCACTCTTTTGATATGCTTATTCCCTATTTTATACAAAAAGATCTTGGAGGCTGCTGAGAAAATTAAGTATCATGTAGTACAATCAATAATAAATAAATAAACCAGGATAAAAATAATAATGGTGATTAAAAAAATAATAATATTTGTCGATTAAGCTATAGCAGTGCAACCTAGTGGTTACAAATCCGGTCACATGAACACAACTCCTTCTTTTGTTATCTGTATGCTGTTGGTCAAATGACTTATGCTTGCTAAGCCACAGAAAGGAATAATTGTCAGTAAAAAGAAAAAAAAAAGGAGTAATATGAATACCTGTGCTGTGCTGTGCTTGGCCACTCAGTTGTGTCTGACTCTTTGTGACTCCATGGACTGTGGCCCGCCAGGCTCCTCTGTTCATGGAATTCTCCAGGCAAGAATACTGGAGTGGGTTGCCATGCCCTCTTCCAGGGGATCTTCCCAACCCAGGGATTGAACCCAGGTGTCCCACACTGCTGGTGGATTCTTTACCATCTGAGCCACCAGGGAAGCCCAAGAATACTGGAGTGGGTAGTCTATCCCTTCTCCGGGGAAACTTCCTGACCCAGGAATCGAACCGGGGTCTCCTGCACTGCAGGTGGATTCTTTTCCAGCTAAGCTACCTAAGAAGCCAGTGTTAATACCTACCACATAACAACTGCAGTGGGAATTATAGAGAAAATATACAGACAGACTTGTCACAATGCCTGACTCAGAAAGAGCAGAATAAATTTTAACTAGCTATCATTTTCATAATCCAACCTATTCACTGGTGATAGATTTTAATTTCAGCTCTGAGTTTCTAATGACCAAAGCAAGACAGGAACATAATGAATTTGCAAGATGCTCTTAAGATATAAAATTTTCTTGCATAAAACATGATGTGGTAGACAAGACCATAGGAATATTCTCACAACACATTCACATCATATCACTCTCAATGAGAAATAATATTTTAACTAGTGAAGAGAATCTACAGCACCCCACTTGAATTATAGATGATTCACCAGTCTTCACTGGGCTCTTTTATGGGCATCTCTGAAGAGGTTTTGCATTTGCTAGTTTGCAGTCATGATGTTGCTGATTTATGTTTAAATGCTTATCCTGCATACATAGCTAGTATATAGCTGGTTATTCCCCAGCTTTGGGCTTTTCACCCTTCCTCGGCATATAAAAAGATGTCCTGTTCATTAAAAGGGACTGGAGTGCAAAAGTAGGAAGTCAAGAGCTACCTGGACTAACAGGCAAATTTGGTCTTCGAGTACAAAATGAACTAGGTCAAAGGCTAACAGAGTTTTGCCAAGAGAACGCTCTGGTCATAGCAAACACCCTCTTCCAACAACACAAGAGAAGACTGACTCTACACATGGACATCACCAGATGGTAAATATTGAAATCAGATTGATTATATTCTTTGCAGCCAAAGATGAAGAACCTCTATAGAGTCAGCAAAAACAAGACCAGAGCTGACTATGGCTCAGATCATGAACTCCTTATTGTCAAATTCACACTTAAATTGAAGAAAGTAGGGAAAACCACTAGGCCATTCAGGTATGACCTAAATCAAATCCCTTACAATTATACAGTGGAAGTGACAAATAGATTCAAGGAATTAGATCTGAAAGACAGAGTGCCTGAAGAACTATGGATGGAGATTCAAGACATTGTACAGGAGGCAGGGATCAAGACGATTCCCAAGAAAAGAAATGCAAAAGGCAAAATGGCTATCTGAGGAGGCCTTACAAATAGCTGAGATAAGAAGAGAAGCTAAAGGCAAAGGAGAAAAGGAAAGAAATACCCATTTGAATGCAGAGTTCCAAAGAATAGCAAGGAGAGAAAAGAAAGCCTTCCTCCATGATCTGTGCAAAGAAATAGAGGGAAAAAATAGAATGGGAAAGACTGAGATCTCTTCAAGAAAATTAGAGATACCAAGGGAACATTTCATGCAAAGAAGGGCACAATAAAGGACAGAAATGGTATGGACCTAACAGAAGCAGAAAATATTAAGAAGAGGTGGCAAGAATACACAGAAGAACCACACAAAAAAGATCTTCATGACCCAGATAACCACAAAGGTGTGATCACTCACCTAGAGCCAGACATCCTGGAACAAAAGACAAGTGGGCCTTAGGAAGCATCACTATGAACAAAGCTAGTGGAGGTGATGGAATCCCAGTTGAGCTATTTCAAATCCTGCAAGATGATGCTGTGCAAGTGCTGCATTCAATAGGCCAGCAAATTTGGAAAACTCAGCAGTGGCCACAGGACTGGAAAAGGTCAGTTTTCATTCCAGTCCCAAAGAAAGGCAATGCCAAAGAATGTTCAAACTACTGCACAATTGCAGTCATCTCACACACTTGCAAAGTAATGCTCAAAATTCTCCAAGCCAGGCTTCAACAGTATGTGAACCATGAACGTCCAGATGTTCAAGCTGGATTTAGAAAAGGCAG